TTCTAAGAGAAAGACAAGACTTTCCTGGACAAGTCCCCTCACCATGCAAACCCTGTGTAAACTAAAAACCCTAGACCCTGAACGCTTGAACAAAAACTGGCGCCCTAAATCCTAAACCCCAAGGCGGTCCTGAAGGTAGTGGTACCTGAGGGTTCTTGACATCAGGAGACTTTGCGAACCCGTCCAGCTTTACATCCATTTAGGGTTCAAGGTGTAGGGTTTAGTATGCATATGACACATGTATATACACATGAGTGTATATACAAGGCTATGGAATAGGGATTCAGATTGTTCAAACTCCACTCAAGCAAGGGGTCATTTTGAAATATACAGAGGTGCCCCTTAAGGGTTTTATGGGAGGGCTGGCGCTTAGTACCAAAGCCAACATGTTAGACAACCTCTCTAAACCCTAAACCCCAGAACCTGCACCCTAAACCCTAAATCATCAATCCTAAAACCTAGACCCCAAATCTGCAACCCTAGACCCTAGATGCTAAACCCTGAACCCTAGGCCGCAAACCCTAGACCGTAGAGCCTAGATCATAACCCTGCAGCCTAGACCCTAAACAAACCCGAAGTCCTAAACCCAGATCATTTTCATGAACTCGCACCTCGGGAACTTGGACGGGTCCCAGACAAACCACAGGCAGACGCGATCGAACATCGAATTTCCTTACTCCGGGGAGTAATGCCGAGATGTTTTTTTGCTTGTTTACTTAGAACAAGGTTTTGGGGATGTCTTAGGCAATTGTATAAGAATTTCCATGCTTTGGTCAGGATTCAGTTTTGATGGGACGCTATCATCTACAGAGATTTTGTGAGGCAACTTGACAAATTGGAAGGTATCCTCCTATGGCCCCATGGGTGACCCCTATCATGCTCAATGAAGGAAAACCCAGCACTGAAGCGATGCTCACCCAAGCAGGGTCTAGGGTTTTAGGTTTACGGGGTTTAGGGTTTAGGGGGTTTAGGGGGTTTAGGGTCTATAGGGTTTAGGGGGTTTAGGGTTTAGGGGGTTTAGGGTTTAGAGTTTAGGGGGTTTAGGGTTTAGCAGTCAATATTTCTCCAGAAAAATGCTGGACATGGTCCCTTATTTGGGACTTTAACAGGAATAAGACTAAACTACCCGAGAGACCCCCATGTCCACTGTTAGGCGTCCCTTAGCATGGCTAATATTGACAATAGCTCACGTAAATAATAAGCTTTTCAGTTGCACAGTTGCAAAGACTCAAGTATTGGGGTTTTAGGCCCCCCAAACCATTCACTTTATGGTGTTTTGGAGCCGAAAGCCCCTAGTATCTACGTCCTAGGACCCTTAGACTCTTGGACGACTACAAACCCACGCGTGCTACGACTGGAAAAACTCAAGTCCTTCGCCTTGAGCAAAGGCCATATCATCATACAACCAAAGGCCCTAAACCCTAAACCCTAAATCCTTAACCTTCTTCCCTGAACCCTTAATCCTACGCCCTTAACCGTAAGCGCGAAACCCTGAACCAAACTCCAGAGTTTCCGTTCAGGGAAGCTATGCCCATGTAGAAGAATACGCCATGCAGAACCGCCTCGGTTGCTCTTAAGGTTTAGGGTGTAGGGCTTATAGGGTTTAGGATATAGGGTATAGGGTTTAGGAGTTAGTGTTTAGGAGTTAGTGTTGGGTTCAGGGGTATATAGGGCTTCGAGAATCCAATGGACAAGAAGATGGAAAACGACATGGGAACTGCGATTCGAGTGGGCTTTGGTGTCGCAAACACGGAGCTGTAGTTCCGTTTAGATTTAGTGCTTAGGCAATGACTTAAGTCACCGCAAGCGTAGGGCTTAGCGTGTAGGACACAGTGGTTAGGGCTGAAATCAAATTACCATGAATATATGGGGTTCAGGACTAGGATTGAGGGTTTAGATTTTTAGGATTTAGGGTTTAGCGTTAAGGTGTGGACAAATACATATGTTTGCATATGTATGTGGAGTGAGTAATTGGTTTTCTTCCCTTAGAATGGCAACGCACTTAAGTCCTGAACAGGTTTAGGGCTGTGGGATCAAGACATGGATATACGTATACATAATATATATATATACTTCACTTACTTGAACTGCAGGGTCCAAGGTCTCAGGTGGCTATAGGTTCCAGATGCCATTATCTGAATGGTGTTTTGGGACCTAAAGCCCTACTATTTTGAGTCCGCGATCATGTAAGTCAGCTCCTCAACAGCAGCCCAGAAGCTTTAGGAAGACGCTGAAGGGCTGGGGCCATCAAGAGTGCAAAGCCGATAAGCAGGTGGATGATGAAGTTGGTGGCTCTTTGTTCCACCACCTGCGCTGTTTAGGACGTAAGGTTTAGGAATCGAGCTAAGCCAAAAAGCATGTGGATGATGAAGTTGGTGGCTCTTTTTTGCCACTACATGCGAAGTTTAGGGATTAGGGTTCGGGGTGTATAAGAGAGAGGCCAAGAAGCGTGCGGATGAAGTTGGCAACTCATTGAAGGAGCCACTACATGCTGCGGATGGAGGAAAACTTGAACCAACCCGTATACCCTATTATATAACAAAAAACAATATCATGAGACCTTAAGTGGTAGAGGATTTCTTCCATCCACTGTATGGTAGGCGGTCAACACCTGTGGTCCCATCACAATACGACCTGATTTTTTTGAAGATGTATACACACCTACAAACTTTTAACAACCCCCTGTGGCACTGGAGATTTAAGGTTTGTTGGGTGCTGCTTATGGTACCGGAGGTCTAGGGCGATGGGATAATAAATCCTGCACCACGCAAGACCTTCCAAGTCCTGGGAGTTACAGTGTGTTATGAGCCCGAGGCACTTGGTGGTGCAAGACTTTAGTGCCACTTAGGGTATCAAGTCTATGGCATGGGGCAACATAGCCTTGCAACCCTAAACTTTCCAACCCTAAACCCACATGTTGCGTCTAGACATATAATGCCGGGAGGCCCCTAAGGTTTGCGGTTTAGGGTATAATGTAGGGGCCATACTTGAAGAAAGGAGGATTGGGGATACAACGTGATACAACGCCATACGTTGCTTCAGGATCAAAAAGGAATAAGATTACCTACAATTATTCAGTCAGGTGTCTAGGTGGGGAGGGTTCAAAAGAAGCGGTCCCCATGATACACCAAAACACTATAGTCCTTCTAAGATGGGTCCCCGAAAGGGGGCCCCCAGTTTTCAGAAGCCCTAAACCCTGTGCATATACATATATATATATAATCGCAATATATCGTGACATAGCCGCTTATGTATTTCCTGTAACCCTATAACCCTAAACCCTAAAAATCAGGGCTCAGGGCTCAGCCTAGGCAGCTACTTTGTCTATTTAGGGTTCAGCAGACCGTGCTGAAGAGGAAGCTCTTGGGAAAGGGGCTAGGGTTGGGAGCCCGCACGCCCAGAATTGGTACCGTTGATAGACTCTAGGGCCCAAAGCGGGCATTGCTTCTAGATTTGAATCTCCAGGAAACATGGAACGGTCAACAAACCAGGGCACCCAGTATATACGAAAAAATACCTACGTGTAATATATATATATGTAAGCATATATATATATATTTATCTATTTGCGATAATTAACCCTTACTATGGGTATCTGCTTGAAGGAACCTCTAGTTTATGGAAGCCCCTAAACCCTAAACCCTTGCCCCGAAACCTTACAACCGAAATCCTCGCCACAAGCCGCAAACCATAAACCTTAAATCTTTGCCCGAAACCCTAAACCCTTGCCCCGAAACCTTACAACCGAAATCCTCGCCACAAGCCGCAAACCATAAACCTTAAATCTTTGCCCGAAAGCCCTGCGCCCTGGATGCTGGGCCAGGTGGAAGGACCCAAAACCCTAAATCCTAAACTGTAACCGCTAATTCCTAAAAACGAATCCTAAACCCTAAGCCCTAAACCCTCAATCCTAAACCCAAACCAGATAGGAGCCATGAACCCGAATGCAGACACGTGACACGTACATGCAATGATAATGACACCCCAGGGGCGAAACCACTTAGGAGACGTAGGTCCGGGGTCATCCCTTTCTCCTCTTTCTCCTCCTCTCTCTTTTCTTCTCTCTCTTCT